TTACGAAGAACTTTATATGAATCAGTTTATTTTCCTTCTGAATAGTGACCGTTTCAAAAATTTTGGAAATTTTTGGAAAATTTTTGGAAAGATATTTTGACATTTTTTTCTTGGTTGTTGGAATGAGCTGAATCGAAATGACGTCAAATTATTAATCTAGAAAGAATGTTTTATAAATTAGTGCTTTTTCCCTTTTGAATGGAGATCGTTTTAACATGTTTTTAGGAAAATTTTAGAAACTTAGTTTACCAATTTTCTGGGTTATTTGCAGAGACAGACTGAAAATTAGTTCAAATTCGTAGTTTAGAAGAAATTTTACAGCATTCCAGTGGTTTTCTCTACGGATGAGTTGCTTAAATTTTTATTTTTTCAAAAATTTTGGAAAATAGTTTCCCCACTTTCTAATTTAATTCAAAGAGTAGAACAAAAATGACCTCAGATTATTAATTTACAAAGAACTCTTTATTAATCAGTATTTTTTTAATTTTGAATAGTGCCCGTTTTAAAAAATTTTGGAAATTTTTGGAAAAATATATTGTCCATTTTCTTGGTTGTTGGAAAGCAGAATCTAAATGACGTCAAATTATTAATTTACAAAGAATTTTCTATAAGCTAGTGCTTTTTTCCCTTTCGAATGGAAGTCGTTTAACATGATTTTAGGAAATTTTTTGAAAATTATTTTTCCATTTTTCTAGATTATTTGCAGATAAGGAATGAAAATTACCTCAAATTCGTAGTTTAGAAAAAAAAATTTTAGTAGTGCAGTAGTTATTTTTCCTACGGATAGGCTGCTTAAATTTTTATTTTTTGAAAAATTTTGGAAAATAATTTCCTCACTTCCTAAGTTATTACAAGAAATGGAACAAAAATGACCTCAGATTATTAATTTACGAAGAACTCTATGAATCAGTTTATTTTCCTTCTGAATAGTGACCGTTTTAAAAATTTTTGAAACTTTTGGAAACATATTTTGACACTTTTCTTGGTTGTTGGAATGAGCAGAATCGTAATGACATCAAATTATTAATCTAGAAAGAATATTTCATAAATTAGTGATTTTTCGCTTTCGAATGGAGATGGTTTTAATGTTTTTAGGAAAATTTTTGAAAAAAAGTTGTCCAATTTTCTGGGTTATTTGCAGAGACAGACTGAAAAGTACTTCAAATTCAAATTTTACAGCATTCCAGTGGTTTTCCCTACGGATGATTTGTTTAAATTTTTATTTTTTGAAAAATTTTGGAAAATAGCTTCCTCACTTTCTAATTTATTTCAAAGAGTAGAACAAAAATGACCTCAGATTATTAATTCACGAAAACCTCTCTATAAATTAATATTTTTTCTTTTTGAATACCAGCCGCATTAACAATTTTTGGAAATTCTTCGAAAATTTTGAGAAAAATAGTTTGTCACCTTTCTTGGTTATTGGAATGGGGAGAACCGAAATGACGTCAAATTATCTGCACAGAGTTCTCACCAAACCAGTGCTTTTTCCTTTTCGAGAGGATTTAACATGTTTTTGGGGTGGGTGGACGGGGTTTATATTTTTCTTTTTTTTTCTTTATATGTATGTATATACCGCCTGTCTGGAAAATCGCGGATTAACTCTTCAGTACGTTATACACGGGGGTTTCGGGTGTCCCAAAAAAATAATAAAAAAATTCTTTATGATGTACATTACGAAAAAAACGTAATTTTGTAAAAGTAAAATTGGCAACACTGCACACCTCTAATGAGTGAATACGTCCAGTTTACTTTCTGGTTTCTTAGCAACGATGATCACTGAAATCCACCTTCGCTTTATATCAGGCAAACATGGTTGTCAAATGGAATTTTATCAAATTATTACAAAAACAACACAGCCATATCTTTGTGCAATCTAACTGAAATGGTAATTAAACATGGAAAATTTGATTCAAAGTCAGATGTGAATAATGGTCCGATTTCTGTGGGCCGATTTCAATGCTCGGCAGTGTATTACAAACAAAACCTAAGTAGAAGGAGGCAGAAACAAAGTTGTAAATTTTTAAAAATTTTCCAGGTATGCCTTCCCTTATCAGTTAACGATCTAGTTGTGGTTGAATTATAAACGTCTCATTAGTCAACAAGTAAGTTTCTTGTGGAAGAAAGAAGACTTCGCAAATTTACAAAAAAATTGACAAATATAAGCCCCGCCCACCCACCCCTTCTCGATTGTCATGAATATTTTATTCATCGCGAGCTGAAGGGCGAAGTTTGGCTGCAAACTCCTCATTTCTTTACAAGAAATTACCATATGAAATCTGTTTTTAAAAGGGTAGAATTTTCTAAAGAAATAATATGTTACAATTAAACTCCGCCCCTCGTCACAACTGAGATCGGGGCGGGTGGGTTGTGCTTAATCTTCGCCTTTATTTTTTTTTGTTAATATACATAGTATTCTTTGAACAACACAATACTCAAAAACATTTTTTAATTTCTCTTGAAAAATGAGGATTTTGCAGTTAAGCTCCGCCTTCTTTGGCTCACGACGAATAAAAAAATCATCACAATTAAGATAGGACGGGTGGGCGGGGCTACATTTTGCCTTTTTTTTTCTTAATATGTAGAGTTATTTCGACAACAAGAAACTTAAAACACGTCGCTAAAATGGTAAATGTTTGTTTTTTTTGAGAAAAATATTAACTAAAAGTTTTATTACTAATTATTGTGATAATGAATGAGCTGTTTAGTTGTTAAACGTAGCAAAAGAACCAATTTTAAAATCATTATAACTCCACCAAAATGTAAGAAGGATTTTTTTTACTATTTTTCCCAGACTCACCAGTTAATTGTTAAGAGCGTAGCGGAGAGTTAATCCGCCATTTTCCAGACACCCGGTATAGTCCTCTTTGAACAACATGATACTCAAAAACATGTTTTTAACTTCCATGTTTTAGTTTCTTGTTATGAAAAGATGGCTACGTATATTAAGAAAAAAGGCAAAATATAAACCCCGCCCACCCGCCCTATCTCAATTCTGATGATTTTTTCATTCGTTGTCAGAGTGAGGGGCGGGGCCTAATTGCAAAATCGTTACTTTCCTACAAAAGTTTACCATTTTAAACATGTTTTACTTTTTTATTGTGAAAAAAAGACTACGCATATTAAGAAAAAAGGGCAAAGTGTGAACCCTTGTAGTTATAATACCTAATCTGCTTTTGAAACGAAAATCAGTAAATTTCGTTGATTTAAACATCGAGAACTATCATTAACAATGAATAAGGCCTGACACAAAGCTACAGTGTAGAAAATAATCGCAGCTATTTTAATTTTCGTGGAATTAGTGCTGTTAACCAGAAAAATGTCTCCCCTACTTCGGGGGATTTTCCTTCAAGTTCGCAGTACTGCACCCTACTCTGTGACGATGGTCTAGTTCTTCGTAAAAAATCTATCAAGACATTATTATTACTTCCTAAGCGTAAACGAAGAAAATATTGTAACGAAAAAGTACGAAGAAATAGGTTTCCCGTTTCCGTCGGTCCGTCTGTCTGCCGTCCCGATTTTTGGTTTTGCCACCGCTGTTTCCTTAGATGACACCCCAGGGGAGTAAAAATGAAATAAGCACTTATTAAAAATTCGTATGCTGATGGTTGTGTTCTGATACTAAGAAAATTTGAATAAATTAGAAGCTGGTTTCTTTTTTTATGTTGCTAATTAATAAAATTTCACTACCTAACGTTACAATTATATCTTCACATCAATATTCAAAGTGTTTGAAATAGTTATAAATGTTTTTTTAGCAAACAATTTAACTTTCGTCTAATAACTCTCCCGCAGTAAACTGCGGTCCAAATTACTATTATTAATTAATAAATTGAGTTAATTTATTGTGTATTTTGAAGAAAATAAAAAATACTTAATGCAAAACTGACTTAAACTTCTGTATTAAAACTATATTGCCATTTTAAGTTTCTTTCATATTATGAATGTAGCTAGTTATCTGCATCTTAGCACCAGTTGCAGTTGCATAATAACTTAAACCACTGCTTTAAATAACGGTCGTTGAACCAAAACAACATATCTGGCATTGACTTGAAATACGGTAAAACCATTATGACATAATAATCGACGAAACTAGTTGGGTATTTTTTAAAAAATAAGAGTAACGAAAGAATGTGGAAACTTACCAGACACTTTCGTTTTTTATACACCAAGCGGGAAAATTTAATATTGGGTCAGAACTGAATTAACTTTTACTCTCGTCGTAACGGGAACTTCATAGCGGCGAAAAATTAACCCAGTCCACAGACAAAAGAAAATTTCAAGAGTTAACTTCTCAAAAATAAATCAACATTAACATACGTATTTTGCATTCCACGCAGAATGAGATGATGATGTAATCAACTGGGGAGCAAACGTAGTGACACCTATTACACTTGTTGTCTCACCATTTTCTTCCTTACAAAGCTTCCGGTTACCCAAGGTCGAATTCCGGTTAAGTACCCCCCAAATAAATCGCGATATTTTCCGGGTCGTTGTCTTATTCAAGGTGTTGTTAAATTCTTTGCAAACCTTCAGGGTATAACCTTGATTTTGGCAATAGTTGCGAAAAAGGACCAGGAACACTCGCTTTAGCCAAAAAATATTTATTCGAACCTTGATACTGCTCACATTCGAAAATAAATGAACTCTGATTCTTAGGTTATCCAATCGATAAATTGCATAAAATGCAATCAAACAAAAACAGTTTTTGGGTTGCACAGAGATCACAGCAAAGTCGTTCCAGAGAGATTAACGCGCAAAATGTTAAATGTCAAAATAAAATCCAAATAGAAACAAAAAGTGATTGCGCCTTGAATTATTTACATTATAGGAAGTGGCATTGATAGTTCAATACACTTGTTAATTATTCAAGCGAGTTGCTATTTCTCTCAAAGATGGAATCCGCGTGAAGGGGCTATAAAAGTCGACTTGTGGGGGTTAATTAGGAAAGGGACTTTTTTATATCCTTGGAGGTAGCAGCAAACTATGGGAATTTTTACCTGGTAGGTCTTTAACCTCGAGGAACAGATGCAGGCGTGATGGTAACGGAATGGCGACGGTTGCCCTTTGAGAAGGATCCCAGGGGTATCAACCTTTAACCACCATCACTGACGTAACTAAAAAAGACAGAAACACTCGAGGCTGATGCTATTCTCTGCGTAGAAAGGAACATGCGTCATAATGACTTCTTCACTGGAATCATTGGGCACAAATCAAAAGTTTGGGTGGGTTTGTGCCATATTCAAGTACAACCACCACATCGCTGTTACGAAATCGTTACTTTTAGTCGTGAAATCCCCAAGTAAATTGCAACAGTTGTTTTGTACAAAGTTACGTCATCAGAATGAACTACGAAAAGGTTGTTTAGATTTATTAAACGTTTATAAAACTGAAATACTGACACTCACCAACATTTTGTAGATATAATGAGGTTACTTTTGTTAATTCGTGAGGTACAGCGCCTCTCAGAGATATAGTTTTCGAACATGAAGTCGAAAGTTGTATATAAAAATAAAGTAAAACCGGCTCAAAAATAGCCGAAGGTGGCTTGCAAGTTCTGACGTCAATGTGGCACGCGTTGCACAGAGGTATATTTCATTATAAAGTTCGAATTTTCCATTAGCGGAGAGATATAAGCATTCCTTGCCAAAATAAAAAAAAACATTCTGCTAAAAAATGTAAACTTTCTGTTAAAAAATATGCATAAAAGGAATAAGAAAATTCAGAACCCCCAAAAATTAGAACACTCATTAAACTATTGGTGACCTCATAAGAATGCAACCGCGCGACCACTTTTTATAGGTAGGTAGTTTTTTTATTTGCAGGCAATTTTCGACCATAAGTACGAACACAAAGTATATCTCTGTAAAATATTTTCCTGAAGTTATCAAATTTAGGTCGCAAATTTCAAAATTACAATCACAAAAAAAAATCTTACCTCTACTAAAAATAATGTATTCATTAGCGTAAAATATTTTTACAAGATCGGCCATAAAAATTGTCTTCTAGGATACCGAAATATGTACAAAAATCAAGTATCTCCAGCGCCATAAAATTTGGGTTGTGTAGATCAAAAAATGTTGTCAAAGTAGAAAATTATGGAATTCACTAAGGCAACAATTTATAATGTTTCAAAATGTCAGATCTAAGTTAAGTAGGTTACGCTGTGTCAGCCACAAGAATCAGTTTTAGGACCTACATGATTCCTGAGACATATAAATGACCTTTTCGGTAAAATGCATATCTACGATTTCTGTTATATTTTTTTGTAAAATTTCTTTTGTTTAATTTTCAGCCTGTATTTGCAGAGGCAATCTTCATTTCAAAACTTCAATGGAAAAGGGTCAGACGTAGGCAGGTTTCTTTGGATGTAATCGGACGGTGTCTACTCCCAACTTTCTATTGTGGAATAAGTGCAATGAACTCTAAAAAATTCAAAAACTTCAGTCAGTGACCACTTGCCACTTCCTGATAAATGTAGATAATCGTCCCTGAACTCACACTTTGCAGAATTGCTTGCGCACCATGAAATCCTGAAGTTCCCGTAAAAATGAAACAGGTACGAAATTCGAAGAAGCTGATTTTTGGAAAATTTATCGACTACGACGACGACTTCAGGTTTGGATTCAACAAAAGAAAAAAAACACAAGGTTACTACAGATGATATGTAATATTTTAGTAATGAAATGGATCCAGCTTGCAAGGTCATTTCGCATAATATTGTCTTGATGTCAGACATTATATTTAGGATCTCTTACGCATGAATGTAAACTGCATAACCATTGTGTAATTTGTTTTACCATTTCTGATAAGGAATTATACGAGAGATTTCCGGTTTTCATTAGAAGGCTGAATAAACTACAGTTTCATAAATTGTGTAACTGAAAATCGTTTATCATTGTCGAGTTCAAAACACATTTAGTAGGCCTCTGTTGTTTGTTTTTGTTTTGCTACTATTTTTTTATTTGTGTTGTGTTGTTAGGGAATTAATCAAACCTTTTTAATTATGTCATTGGCGATAAATTTTATTTTTATGAGACGCAATTTATTGCTATTAAATATTTATTTGCAAATATGTTAAAGATAGTTTATTACCTTGAAAACGTATTTAATGCAAAATTATTTCGTTTTTCGGTTTCTTTTAGCATTATCTGTAACAAACTTGTTAAATACACTGTTTAATTTGTTATAAAACAATAAATCCAGATTTTTCGAAAAATTGTAATATTTGATTTTGAGAATTTAATTTTTTTATGATAACCATTATTACTTAAAATAAAGATATGTATGTAATGTTAAAGTAAAAGTAATGAAGTGTGCTAGAAAGATTTATTCGGTAAAATTTTGACATGACCTCATCAATTTTTTGGGAGAAGATAAGCGAATACATTTTGATTAACGATTTACCATTATTACGATAACTTTAAAACGTTTGCAAGATGCAGAAGATTGGGTTTTGGAGTTTCAACGTTATTTTTGCAAAATGTTATAAATTTTTGCAAAGTATTCCTACTTCCTGAACGCTCAGGTGGTGAAAGAATAAAATTCCCAAAATCAATTTTTTGTACTTCAGAGGCGAGGGAAGTTCTGTTGAAATAACCTTTTACCATTTTTTTGAATAAGGTAATATAAATCCGACATAAACAGACACGATAGATGACACTAGTTTTTTTGTACTCTAGTGGTCCTGAAACGTCGAGAAACATTAGCCAGTCGCCCGGTGAACTCGATTACAACACTTCCTTAGCTTTCTTATCCTTTGATTCCCCTGCGGTGGAGTGCTAATAGATGAAGTTTTGTGGAAATGATCTCGGAAATGATCACTAAAGGATTATTTTGAGTTTCTAGGTACCGGTTCCGGCCCTTCAAAAAACAAATACCTACTGATTTATGTCTAGGTAAAAGTTGTTTAACAGGCTTAAAGTAATTTACAACTGCTGTTCGCTGTAAGAATTTACAACAAAAGAAAGAAATCCAACAAAACCTAATTTTATTTTTCTTAAAATTGTCTAATCCTCTGTTTTTTATTGCACACCAGCAGGTGTGGCGTTAAGCCCTTTACGACCCAACAGAATGAACACTTGTGTTCTTATATTTTCTTAGAAGATTTTGACAAAGTAAACATTTACTAAATCCTTACCTCCCAAGGAAGGTAAGACTGAAGGTGAAGGTACCATGCACCCTATCTTTAAACTTAATTTGTGTTTTTTGATAACCTTTATTTAGTAAAAACTAGTGGCGTAAATGATACCTCCAAACCCTGTGTCGCGGGGATGCAAATTACAGACAATATGAAACGTATTCAAAGCAAAAAAAAAACCAACGGAAAAGACTGTATTATTATCAATGTACATACATTCTTAACTTCGATTGTTTATGTTTATACACCGAAAGAATGTCACGTAGAAATTAGTTTTTAGCGAAAAAACTGAAAGCGTATTCGTACACTACAAGTAATAAGTATATTTTTGTGTAACATTTAAATCATTTTAAAATCCCACTAATTGAAACCACGTCATCAAATTGTTGGTGGGGACGATTAGCCAAATTTTGGTTAGCATTTTAGCATTTACACGATATTCCTAACACACATGTAAAATTTGACAACAATCGGTAAGATAGTTTCGAAGATTATCTCTTTAATAAAAATGTATTGTGGTCAAAAATCTTTAAACATCTAATGCTTTTGCAAAAGTTTAAAAGTTTAAGGTCGATAAGAATATTCTCTGAAACTTTAAAAAAACATTCTTTATTGTAAAATAATCAACATTAGCTTAAATTTTAAAACCCAGAACTTTTACGTCTGTTTGCCAAAGCAAATTAATTCTCAGTATATTCACTCTACTGCGTAACAGATAAATAACAATTATGAACAATGATTATATTAGCGCTGCAATGTTTACATCATGTTTGTTACAAATACGACCTATGCAAACACCGACCACACATAAACCATTGATGGGCCCTGAAATGTTTGCCAAAATTCTAAAAATAAAAATCAAAATACAACTGTACTTCCGCAATTATTTAATATATCTTTTTTGGAAAGTTTTCTCAATAATGTTTGCTAAAGATTTTGTTTGTGATTTAGAGACAGATTACGGAGAGACCATGAATGTATTTACTACATAAGTATTAGATAATTGCCGTCAGGGTCACAATTTTTGCGTTGTGTGCTGGTTGAAGGTGTTACAACTCACTAGTCACAAAAAGTGTGTAATGCTGGTAAAAAAGGCAAGAGCAACTGACGTAACTTCGTATCTGATTTTGAAATGTTAAAATATCTCGAGATCGTTGACTTTGAGTGGTTTATTCCAGATTAGGTATAAATATGCATTTTTCGAATTTTGAAGGTTGGGTTAATAAATAATTTAATAATCTGTGGTGAGATGTGACTATGAAAAAAACACATAACCGACATTTTTATGGTAATTAGACCGATTTCATACAACGCTGATACGAAGAATGATTAATGTATCCATCAGCGACTGTTTTGCAATTTAGATAATAATGTCGGTTTTCTACAGCTACCGGAATAATATTGATTACAAGAGACACAAACGTCGCAAAACTAGTGACTTTCTTTGAATTAACAGGAACATTTCGAACAAAGAGCAGTCGACCTATTTGTCTGCACAATAGATATACCGTAAGGGTAGCTACCTGAAGAGCAGGTAAATGTAAGCCGTAAAGGTACAAAAAATAAAAAAAAAAAAAAATAAGTATATTTATCGGGCAACCTTCCTTACGTTACTGTCGCCAAAACCACTACATTTACCGAGAACGTTTTATAGTCTACCGATTTACATATTTCAGTACTCATGAAAACCAGTGGATGAAGTGTTCTACTGAATAAAAAGTACTGATTTCGACCGGAACAAGCAACCCCTAATTCTCAAAGAGGGTACAAAAAGTTTACAATTTATGTCCACGAACAGGGCTGATATTTGAAGATAAGTGGTGAAGAAAACATACTACCAGAAGATTTCCACACCTTCAAATCGTTAAAGGAATAATAAAAAATTGTATATATTTTTTGATGTTTGTGTTATTTTAACAGCATTGAAATTTAAACATAATTAATACATATTTTAGCTGTTCATTTATTACGGAAGACGGATTTTCTTACTTTTTATCCCATTTCTACCCCATAATAAGAAAAAAATAAGAAAATGTATAATCTCTCCCTGGGAACGCGTTCGTAAGATAAAAATATTTTCGGTACCTACTAATCTTATGTGAAATCAAAGAAAATAAATAGAAAAATCTAATTGATTCTTATAATTTTATATTGTCAATTTGACTTTGAACTTGAGACAATTAATTTTATTTTATATAAAAATATTAAGCCGTAAGTTATGTGCAACATAATCCTTACTGATTAATATTTTTGATTGACCATTTTACTACAATAAAATGTTACGATCTCCCCCAAGTAGTAAGAAGTGGTTACTTTTAGTGGTGTGAATCTTACTGATTTCTAACTACGTTTTCGTGT